AACGCATACGGTGAAAAAGCCGCACATATTCTTAACATTTCATTCGCCAAGGTTTGGAAAGACATTTAGCATTAGAATTAAGTCTGTGACCCACCTTAAATAGTAAAAACAAAATAATCCTAAATCCAAGCTAATGTCTAGTCTAATTTTAGCGAAGGAAACATCATGATAGGACTGTACAGCAACTGGTGGATGAAATGATGGTTAAGGGGGAAACGACTTTATTGGATTGGTTGCTATTCTTCAGATGTTACCCATCATTAGGCTGAGATGCCAGTCCAAAATACAAATGAAGTGCGAATGGCTGCATAGCTCCTTAGATTCTCAGGGGAAATAACTGCCAGTATACTAAAATGCCTATCACATTTCCAGCCCGATTTCGGTAATGCTGATAATAGTTACCGTGGATGCGAACACTGCGTCTTTTTTACTTAAAATAAAAAGATGCCGGCAATTATTGAATTGATAGCCTGTATAACAATGCGAACATACACTACTATCTTCGAACAAACGTTTGATAATTATTATGATAAGTGACCTAAATATGTGCTGGAAAATCTTTGTGAGAGATAAGCTGATCAGTCAAAGTTAAGACATTTTCGTGTCCCTCACATATCTGAGTTAATTTGTGGCTCATTCCCACGAGCTATAGCGTCGACGTCTGGTGCTGTAGTAATTTAATGACAGAAATTATATTTGTGTATGCTTTTTAAATGAAATTTCGAATTAATAAACTTTTCCAGCGTACGAAATATTGGTGGCATAATCTACTATAATTGAGTTAAACCTGCTGCACTTGTATCAGGAAATGCTGATATCTGAGCAATATGGTGGATTAAATGGGACGGTAAGTTCAAAATCTAAAAGTATGTCTTCAAATTTTCATGACAACATGCTAGTACGTGTGATCTAATCAGTGTTTTGTTATTGTCTTGATTGTTTTGGTAGTTGTTGGCATTCATAGCACAGTTTCAGAATTGATTTAAGTTTTCATTTACTTATGACAGTCTGGTTTATGACACAAAGCATTTTCACAATGGGCATAATATATAGCATCGTTGTGAACTTGTGCTTCAAGTGGCCTTAATTTCGAGAGAAGATTTAATTGCTGCAATATTCTGATACAATAACTTAGGCTAACATGTGAAAGAAACCTATTATCTTATCCGGAATAAGGACAAGTTGATCAGAAGTTAAGGAAGACTTTATCTTTCAGTTTACTGATATAGATATCACTGTACATCGAGTTGCACTGCAGTTACGCGTTTAAAAAAGATTATGAATAACTTTCTCCTCCTTTCAGTATAACAAAGTTAATAAATAAATAAATAAATAAATTTATTCTCATAGTACAGTACATGAGGGACGCCAGTTTACAGGCATCATCAAATTGCTACAGAAATAGAACCATATAATTCAATCACAATTTACAGGCAGTAGCAAGATATGCCTTATATGTTCGCTGGAGATTATACATTCACTTGATAAATGTTAATCCCAGTAGTATAAAACAGCCTTTTCACTTATATACAATCATTTCTGTGCAAAGTTGGAAAAATCTGCTAGCTTGTCAGTGAGTGCAACACAACAGGAAATACAGGAGTATTGTCTTCGCATTAACAAAAAAACCAGGTCTTTGGTGGATGGATTATAAGTGCCTGGGAAAAAAATAAAGCTTGAAGTAAATATTCATACATAACTTTGTTGTGTGCAGAGTCCTCGAATTATACTTCATTGATGTGTTATTTTGAAATCAGTGATGTGTTTATCTCATTTGATCTGCAATGTCATTGTTGGGAGTAAGTACATAAGCTTCAGACGCATTAATTAATGGATTTCCACTGCTCATGTGTATTCTCTTAGCGTTAGGAAGGTTTATGAGTTTCAGCTGTTCCGACAGGAGTTGAGAATATTAACTGCTCAGCAACATTATGGATATCAGTTCATCACATTATCTAAGGAAAGGTGGGTTGCAGTTGGTGAGGGATATATGGTGCCCAACGAGCGTACATCTGTCCATGTGATGTTGTGGTGAGTCATACCTTTTTCATGTTGTCAGTTTATGTCCATTTTATTCCACTTATTGTGTTGGGTAGTAGTTTTACAAACGAGATTTCTTGTCTGTTTGAGGATACGTATCTTAACCGTTAATGTTTTATCTAGAATTATAAATATAGGCAAAAAACAACAGGTGTAGTATTTAAGCTTATACATTAAATGGACCTATAATTTCGGAGGCTCTCAGATAGGAACTAGAACTACTATCGTTTGCGAACTCTTGTAGTTTGTCATTAAGCACCTTTTTGAAGGAGGCCAATGTACTTGCTTGACGCATTTCCATTGGTAGTCTATTCCATATCTGTGCATACCTAATCAAGTAAAACTTTTGCCTGGTGGCTGTTTTACATTGTTCGATAGCTACTGTACACTTAGTGTGTCTTAGTTTGTAGCCATTGTCATCTGAAAGTCGAGTGCCATTAGTAGAGGTAAAAACTAAGTGGTTTAGAAGCTTATAGTGAAGTGTTAAGTTTAGTCTCGGGCGTCTTAGCCATAGTGTTTCTAGTCCTAGGGTATCACATCTAGTGGAGTAGTTCGCACAATTTTCGGTTCCTAGTAATTTTAACGTGAAGTACCTCTGCACTCCCTCGACTTTCAAGTTTTCCTCTATGCGTATACTACTATACATGAATGAACAGTAATCAAATAAAGGACGCACACAAACCTTGTACAACAGAATTCTAGACTCATTTCTGTAGAAGTTCCTGAGTAGAAAGCCGATAAGTCTGTATGACTTTGACACTTGTTTGGAGATGTGTTCAGAAGATGATAAGTAATGTGAATATTTCAGCCCTAGGTCCAGTACAGATTCCAGTCGTAGAAGTGGATGGCCTTGAATTGTCAGGTCAACCTCTAAGTTGTTGCAACCTATGCAGAGCCAGCCACATTTTTCGACATTAAATTGGAGTTGCCAGGTGTCACACCATCTATCCATTTTTTCTAATTCTTGCTGTATGGCGTCTACTGTTATTCCAAGATCTGTGTCCTTGCATTTATACGTCACTTTTAAGTCATCTGCATATAATATTGTGTTACCTACACTAAAGCATTCACGGATACTGCTAATATATATTATGAATAAGAGTGGGCCTAATACACTTCCCTGGATCACACCACTACTTACTGGTTTAGGCCTTGAGATTATCGAGCCAACTTTCGTTGTCTGACTTCGGCCACAGAGAAATGATTTTATCTAGCTGAGGAGAGGGTCGCATATCCCTAGTGAGCATAACCTGTTGACTAGCAGATTATGGGGAACTCTGTCGAAGGCTTTTGTTATATCGAAATATAGCACAATTACTAGTTCTTTGTTGTCCCTACTTCGTGTAACTTCGTTGAAAAAGTCTGTGTGACAGGTCACACATGATCTCTTTTTGAGAAATCCGTGTTGTGATGGATTGATAAGTTCATGTTCTAGTAAGTTGTCTGACACTTGGTCTTTAACCACTTTCTCCCTTATTCGGGATGTTACCGGTGTTATATTGATACGTCACAAGATTCTCTGTGCTGAGTTCAGTAGGGACAGATAGAA